TAAATAACCTGGCAGCAGAGGGGTTTCCACATTTAGCAAGTCGTGACCCACGTGTGTGACATTTTGTAAATGTGTCCTCCAATGGGACTTTCAGCCTGTGGCTTAGACTTTGATGGTCTTTTCGTGCACCTTCAAAAGACCGTTTCCCCTCTGAACTCTGTATCGTAATCACCATATTTCTTAGGTCAGTTATTATTTCCTCTCTCTCTTTTCTCCTTCCTTTTCCCTCATAAATGAAGGAAAGCCCCTTCTCTGTTTTTGTAGCAATCCTTAAATTCAGTTAACGGATGACTTGAAGCCATTGAACCAATCAAATATTATTATTATTATTATTATTATTATTTGACAGTATGAGGTAATTAGTATTTCATGTCATCTACTAACATTTCATCTTAAATATATGTAATCTTATATTATTTTATAATGAAGTTTCTAAAATGTCAAATATATAAATGTATGTCTATTTGCACGTGTTTATTGGGTGGTAAGAGCATCCCACTTATTATAGTTATTGTCACACAGAATAGCAGTTGCGAGATAAAAACTGTCTTGGGTCATATTCTCCACAAAATTCAATGAAAAACTGAACCGAATGTTATGAAAAGTTGTTTAGCTAATTAAGACAAAATTGGCAAGCAGCATATCGCTGAACATTAGACAAGATCCATTCCAACTATTACATGAGCATCAATTAATGGGTAATCAATTACGTTCATTCCCTCTTGTTTTTTTTTTTAATTTTTTTAATGAACTTAAATTCATTCTTGTTGAATTGTAATTTTAAAAATAAAATTTATTTAATCTGTATTTTAAAAGTATAGATTAAAAATATATTAAATAATTTTTTATTATAAATTTATATTTTAAAAATAAAAATTAATACTTAATTTATTAATTATTTAATTAAATTTATTTATTTAATGTTGATATTAAAATTAATATTAATTTGTATATACATTTAAAATAAAAAATATTTTTAACATATAATCTAAGAATTAAAAAAAAAACTTTTAAAAATAACATAGAGTAGTTCTTGAATGTTGATTGATTCAGCAATATTTAATCCATTAAATTTGGCTACGTACATGAAGTGATGAAAGCACTCATTAATATCAATACAAGATACGGCAACAATAGTTCTTTCTTGTCCACGGGGTCCTAATAGCTTTTCAATTAGGTTCTGATAATCAATGAGGAACATAATCCGTCATTTATTACGTTAAGCCGTTAAGGTACAGAATTAAGTTCGTATGTCTCTTGCTCGATTGATCGAGACTAATCTTATGTCTTTTAAAATGTTTATGCAAACAAATTAAAAAGAAAATTTAAATTTGGACATTAAACATAGATTAAGAATATATTTATTATTAATTTATAAAAAATAAAAATTAATTTTAATTTTATTAATTATGTAATTAAATTACTTCATATGACATTAACATTAAAAATAAATTTTACTGTTATAATTTTTTATATGAATTTATGTTAAAAAAATACAATAACTACATTTAATTAAAGTTAAAATAATGCAAGTTAAAACTAGTAAAAAGAGGAGGGTATGGTGTTGCCTAATTTGGCAAAAGGGCATAGAGGGGTTTCCACATTTACCAAGTCGTGACCCACGTGTGTGACATTTGTAAATGTGTCCTCCAATGGGACTTTCAGCTTGTGGCTTAGACTTTGATGGTCTTTTCGTGCACCTTCAAATGATCTTTCCCCTCTGAACTCTGTATCATAATCACCATATTTCTTAGGTCAGTTATTATTTTCCTCTCTCTCTTTTCCCCTCCTTTCCCCTCATAAATGAAGGAAAACCCCTTCTCTGTTTTTGTAGTATATATAATCATTTGAATCCTTTTTTTTTTCTTTATAAATTGATATGATTATGGTGTTTGGGTTGTTGACACAACCTGCAGAAAGAATCCATGGAGAGGAACAGTTTCAGTAACAGTTTGAAAAACCATAGTTTGGAGGTTACCAAAACCATGAGAGAAAAAGATCAAAACAGCAGGAACCAAAACAGATCACATAAAGATCATTCATGGAGCGGCAACAGCAGCTATGGTTACGGAGATCAAGATTACCTTGGTGGGTTTTCATGGCCTCCAAGATCTTACACCTGCAGCTTCTGCAGGAGGGAATTCAGATCTGCTCAGGCTTTGGGTGGCCACATGAATGTCCACAGGAGAGACAGAGTCAGGTTGAGACAGTTACTTTCTAAGGATGGTAAACACCCTGACCCCAAACCTAATTTCTCTTCCTCATCCTTGGTTTCTCACACTTATTCTTGCAAATTACCTTCCTTGGTTTCTTCTCTGTCTTCTTTTTCTTCACCTTCTATGGATGCTTTCCCCAGTGAAATGAAGAGTACTTGGGATCTTGAAAGAACCCGAATAAATTCTTTGAGCCCTAAAGCCTTAGATTTAAGCAACATGAAGGGTGGGAAATCCTTCTTGGAGATCAAAGACCTTGATGCTTTCACGGAAGAAGAAGATGATGGGCGTAAGTTGTTGAAGAAGGCTGAGAATATTGTTAGGTTGGACTTGGAAATGGGTCTCCTCAGTGATTCCAACCAGGATTTGGACTTGGAACTTCGATTGGGATACTCTTAGATGAACTTTTCTGCAGCTTTATCATCATCAACACATGTTTCCAAGTACTGAGGGCTTTATGTGAGGTCATAACAAGCTGCATTTATGCTTTCTCTAGTTAATCAATCATGAAACTCCAGTACTCACTGGTTTTGGAAGTTGTGGTATGTCCTGTCACTATACCATTTTACTACTATTCAAAAAAAAAAATAAATCCAGTACTCCACTTCCCTGCATGCATAAAGATTTCTGTGAGATGCAAAGCAATGTAAGATTCGAGCTGAATATTGAATCAGCTAGTTTCATCTTCCATCAGTATTTGCACTATAGTAGGCATGCAATTTTTCTTTTTCTCTCCTTTTTTTTCCTCAGTTTCTGTTAGTTGATCACTTTCTAACTTTTATTTACATAAACATTGTCATGAAGTGTGCCTTTATATATATATATATATATATATATTTTATTCCATCCATTCTACTTAAGAGAAAAATAATCTTGTTTCTAACATCTTACCTTATATATCTTCTTGCCTCTAAGAATTATTAAAGTAGGCTGTTGTTAGGTTAACTATAAGTTAACCGAAAAAAAAAAAAAAACAGTTTTGTTTTACCTGTTCAACTTGTTTGCCTTTTTATTGTAATTTATTTATTACCTACTTACAGGGAAAAGGATAATCAATATTGAAAATGTGAAAGAAAAAAAAAAACATAAAAAGAGAAGAACTTATAATAAAAATAGGAGAAATGAAAGAGATCAAAGTCATGCTTGAAATTTGGCTCATGAACAACAGATGCTGAACGGTTTAACAACATATATGACAAACAAGAGATATTTTATTTTACCTAGATATATTTATATATAAATTTATATATATATAGATTATTATTAAAAAAAATAGATCGAGCTAATTAAAAAAACTGAAGCAAAAAACAAGAGATCCACTGTGAAGGGGAGAAAGGGTTTAAAAGTTCTTACTGCATCCATTTTGGTTCTTCATTCTATCAAAGATTAACTAATGTATACGGGTTTGGTTACCCCTTGTACTCATTCAATTAAATCTTTTGCCTTACGAAAAAAAAAAGAAGTTCTTACTGCATCCAGGAAAAATATTTGCACTGATTAGATTTTCAAAGAAAAGCATCACACTTTTGTTTGGATCACAGCGTATTTAAAAAAAAGGTATATACATATATATATGGACAATTATACATACACTCAAAAAATCAACACCCATCTTAACACTCAAGGTTAAAATGAGGAGAGGTAAATTTGTAATTTTACTGTTTATAAGGCTTGAGTGTTGAGATAGGTGTTGATTTTTTGAGTGTATGTATAATTGTCTTATATATATATATATATATATATATACTTTCTCATTCACTCATGTTAGCATATATATGAATTTTTGAAACCGAAGTTCCAATACACGAGCAATGTAAAAAAATACAAAAACCCATTAAAAAACTTCAAATGAGCTTACCATTAAAAAAATGAAAAAAACTTCAAATGAACAATGAAAAATAGACAAGAAGAAGAGGGAAGAATCAGAGAGACTATATTGGGGCAAAAAATGGAGAGATTATAATAAATTACACTAGGAACCAAAAATAAAGATTATGTGAGATTTCCAGTACAAATATAAAGATGATAAAAATGGGCAATGAAATGAGAAGTTAAGAGTTGTGAGTAATGTTAGGTTGTAGTTAATTATTGTCATCATTAAAAAATATTAAGA